GAGGAGGAGGAGGAAGGGCTCCCGGCAGACGCGGCTGCGCGCCCCGCGGAGGAGTGGCCCCGCAGGCGCGAGTGGCCGCGTGGGTGCCAGTGCTCGGGTTTCTGTGCCGCCTGTGGTGCTCAGGCCGTGCCTGTGGCCCCTCCTCCTCGGCCTCCCTCCTCCTCCTCCTCCTCCTCTCCTCCCCTCCTCCTCCTCCTCCTCCTCCTCTTCCTCCTCCCCCTCCTCCTCCCTCCTCCTCTCCTCCTCCTCCTCCTCCTCCTCCTCCTCCTCCTCCGCCTCCTCCCTCCTCCTCCTCCTTCTCCTCTCCTCCTCCTCCTCCTTCTCCTGCTCCTCCTCCTCCTCCTCCTCCTCCTCCTCCTCCTCCTCATGCACGGGAAACTCTCGAGGCACAGCTGCAGAAACGCATCCCGAGGCCAGAAAGCCTCTGGGAACCGACGAAAGCGTCTGGTATGCCCGCACCAAAAATCGACGGTGGACAAACCTCCCTTTAGTAAACCACCCTGTAGTGAAAACGGCCTCGGACCGAAACCAACAGACTTTGGCCCGCAGGAATGACTGCCGCGACACCCTCTCGCGAACCGAAAACAGCCAATTCGCTAATCGACGTGTCAGGGCAGGAGGTAGATCAACCTTCAACAAAAAACCCGAGATCCGACGTTGCGATACAAACAAAATTGCAAAATATCGCGACTGGATTCCCGGACCCAATTCGTTGTGCGTCAATCTGGCCGATCTGTGAGGGTCCCGGGGCCCGACACGGGGCACACGCCCGTGGTGAGAAAATTGCCATGCCAGGATCTCAGGGAAGGTCACTCCAACGAATGGTCAATCCTACGAGCAGCCATCGGCGGTGGACAAACCTCCCTGTAGCAAACCACCCTGTAGTGGAAACGGCCTAGGACCGAAACTGGCGAACCTGGGCCCGCAGCAATGACGGCCGCGACGCCCCCTCGTGAGCCGAAAACGGCCAATTCGCTGATCAACGTGTCAGGGTAGGAGGTCTGTCGACCTCCGAAGCCAGAGATGCGCCCCTCGGGAGAGGTCCGGGGAACCACGGGGCAGACGAGTTACACATTTCCACACCCCAGGAGATCCGGCAGCGGCGGCGGTGCCTTTCGTACGCAAGAGGGTACCCGTGCTTCAGCATCCCGCACCCAGCCAGGGGGCCACCCTGGACCCTCCGACTTGTGGCGTGCCACTCGGCGCTTGGCCTACAGTCGGACCGAGGCCAGAAGAGCACCTCCCCTGACCTTCCAGAGAGCTATTCTTTAGCACTGGAGACCCAAAAAACCTAACAAACGAAACGAACCTGCCTAAAACCAAGACGTAGAATAGCTCTGGGATAGGTTTTTTTGTCGCGTGCTATTTTTAAGCCCTCCTGGAAGGTCAGGGTCGTCGAGAACAGGGGGCCCTCCGTCGGCCAAAACGAGCAGAGCTTCCAAGGGTGCGCTCCCCGGGATGCCCAGAAACATCCCACAAGCACGAAGAGCACGAGGGCACCCTCCCCGAACCGACCTCGATCCCTGGCCATCGCTCGGACGTCCATTCCCTGTGCTTTTTCGGGTTTCGTGCGTGGTTTTTTCGCCCAATGATCCAGGATGCTCCTCGAAGGTCCTCGCCGAGAGAAAAATGCACACGTCCGAGCGACGCCAAGATCGTCTGCCTCGGCCCGACTGCACTCTGGCCTGGGCGCGAGCTCCGTGGTCCGAGGGGCCTTCACACAAATGAGCCGTTCCCTGCTCACCCGGGCGCAGGTCCGAGGCCTCCCCCCAAAATGGTGGGGGCCCAAAGAATATACACCACCACGACGTCGATTCCTCCCCTCGACCTCCTCTCTCCAGCGAGAGGGGAAGGGGGAGAGGGAGGTGGTGGTGGTGTATATTTTGGGGCCCCCCCTAGATGGGGCTCCGCTCATGGCCCAGGGCTCCTGGTGGCAGAGGCTCGACTGCACACGTCCTCCTGGCCGCGCCCTGAGGTCCGGCGCTGCGGAAACATGCAACGCCCGCGAGAGCTCACGAGCAGTGCCCCAGACCTTAATGGGCCCCGGAAACGGCAGGGCCGTTTTGTCACCGTTTCCAACAAAAAAAATCCCTTGAAAATGGGCACGGCAAAAAAACGGCGACCGGAAACGGCAACAAAAACGGCTCCAGGATTGGAACCGGAGCGGGAACCCGTAACAAAAAACGGCGCTGAAACTGGTAACAAAAAACGGCGTCGGAACCAGCAAACAAAACAGCAAAACGGAGCTGGTAAAAAACGGCCCTGTCGTTTCCAGGGCCCACTGAGCCCCAGACCCCTTGTCTAGTGTTGTGGATGCCACGACAATGGACACTCTAACAATCTGGTCATTGAATTAAACACGTGGTTTTTAAATGTGTAAAACATGTTATTCGACATGTTTCAAACATGTTTTGAAATATCTAAGACATGTTTGAAACATGTTTTAGAAATGATTTGGCAATATGCTTCCTCTCCGTTGATAGTCCTCCACAACCTAGTGCGTGTTTAGAAGAAGAAAAACACCAACACATAAACTTTTGGCGCTCCGCGCGGATCTCTTGGATCCGCGCTGGACCCCCCTCCCTGGCGCGCGGAGCGCGCCAGCGGCGGCGCCGGAGGCGCCGCGGGGGGGCTGTCAGCGCGGATCCGAGAAATCTTCGCGGAGCGCCAAAAGTTATGTTTATGTTTTTGTTTTCTTCTTCGGAGATGGTCCCAGGGCCGACGACGGGGCGAGAATGCCGAGAGGAAGGAAAGGGGGTGCTAGCAGAGGGTAGGGTAGAGAATCAGCTCCCAGAGCTGACTTTCCCAGCGCCTCCCGGGAGGAATGGGCCAGGCGGCGGGGCCGAAACCAGCTGCATGCAGCAGATTTCGTACTCCCCCTTTCCCGATCTCCTCCTTTTCTTTCGGCCCGACTCGAGGAGCATCTTGCATCCCCCTGCGAACCAAAAACATCAGCCACGCGCAGCGGGGGATTCGGGTCAGGTCGGGCGTGTCCCCCTACAGGCGGACTCTGGACGACACATCAAACATGCTCAACATATAATCGAAACTGGTCGAAAAATAATCGAAACATCGTCCCCAGTCTTCAAACAACAAAACAAAAGCTATGTTTGAATGCTCCCTCTGTAGAGGGACATGCCCGACTCCAGGGCAGGGGGCCAAGGGGGAAGGGCTCCCATTGAGCAGGGACCGACCGTCCCGCCATTCCCATAGTCCTACCACGAAATGTTCTTAGAACCCAAAAATGTTCTCAGACCAAAAACAATGTTCTTAGAACATAAAACCCGATTTGATCAAACAAGACAGACTCCACCAGACATCTTCTAAGAACATTTCGTGGGAACCACCAAAGGCTCTTAGAACATTGTTTGGTAGGGCTAAAGGCGAACCAAGACGCTTCGCCACTGCTTGATCCCAGGGAGGCCGGGGGGACCCGCACTCCACAGCATGGTCCAGGGTGGGTCTGGCCAGGCCCGGCGGCGGTGCACAGGGTGCCTCCTGCGGCGGGGGGGCCTTGCCCGGCGGGCACGCCCGCAGGCCCGTCTTGAACTCCAGGGGGTTCTCCAGCACCTGGCGGTACAGCTCCAGCACCTTCCGCTGTTCGCGGGGGCAGAGGCCTCCTGGATGGGGTCCGAGCGGAGGGCGTCGGTGGATTCCACCGCGTCTTGGGTGCATCGCCGATGCATCGGCGATGCATCGGCGCTGCATCGGCGACGTCGGCGTGGAGCAAATCGGGCTCCACATCGAACCGCGTCGCCGATGCATCGGCGATGCATCGGCGGTGCGACGCGATGCTCCGACCCCAACTGCTCGGACCCCATCTAGGAGGCCTAGAAAGAGTGTCGGGGCATGAACTTGGGTCTCAAGCGGCTGTTCGGGCCGATTCGGACACTCCCAAAGAAAGCTCTCGGCGAGGCGCAGATGCTGGAACGCATCCAGAAGCAAGAACACACCCAAGAACCGAGAAAGACTTTGGACATCGTCCAGCTGAAACGAAGGTCAATCCCGAGAAAGGTGCGAGGTGGGGATCTATGTGTACCCAGCGCCTGGAACTAGTGTCCTGGACACCCAAAAAGCAGTGAACGCGGATATTCGTGTGCCCGTCCAGGCTGGGTCCGAGCAGCCGTGATCTCTGATTCAGAACTCCGCCCGGCGTTGCCAATAACACATGCATGAACTCATTACTCCCCGACAGGGGGAACCGCCAGGCGATATGGCTTATCACCCCATCTGAATGAAACATCTTTGGCGGGGGGTGCGGTGGGAGTAAGAGGAGCAGGAGGGAAATCCTTAAGTGTGTCGTTCTCGAAGAGGAATTCTGCTTGGGGTCTCGATGAAACCATCCAGAATTTCTCAGGTAAGGAGGACCATCGAAACTATGGAGCCCAGTCGACGACGGCGACGGAGACGACGACGACGCAAGACGACGACGCGCTGCGGATGCCCCAGGGGGGGTGCTGCATGGGCGCCCGCCGTGGTCGTCGACGACGACGAGGACGAGGACGAGGACGACGACGACAACGATAAAAACGACGGAAACGACGACGACGACGACGACGACGACGACGACGACGAGACGAAGCCGAAACGACTACGACGACTCGCTGCGGATGCCCCCACATGTGTGCGTGTGTGTGTGTGTGTGATGTGTGTGCGGGTGCGTCTGCGTGTGCGTGTGCTTGTGCTTGTGCGTGTGTTTGTGTGTGTGTGTGCGTTTGTGTGCGTGTGCGTAAGCGTGTGCGTGTTCGTGAATTGGGGGGCAGTGTATGTGTGTGTGTGTGTGTGCAGCGTGGACTGGGCCAGCCATAGTCTACGCCGACGACGATGACGACAACGCGGTACGGCTGCCCCAGGGGGTGGGGGTCTGCGTGGGCCCCGCCGTAGTCGACGACGACGACGACGCGACTAGGACGATAACGAGGAGGAGGACGATGGACTCCGACGATTGGAATATGATTGGGATCGTATTTCGGGCATGTTCGATACCTGTTGGGATGCGATTGGTATACTCTTGGAATCCCACTGGAGCCTAAGAATCCAATTGAAATTCTATTCGAATCCCATGGGGATCCGATTGGAATCAGATTGGAGCCTTCCCGATATTCCATTCGAATGCTATTGAAACTCGGGATGCGTATTGGAGCCCAAAGGTCCGATTGGAATCGCATTAGAAACATATTGGAAATTGAAACCGTCTTGGAATCCCCTAGGACAGCAACCCGAACAATCGGAGTTCATCGAACGAGAATGGGAGAGCGAGCGAAGGAAAGAGAGAAGGAGAGAAAGAGAAAGAGATAGCGAGAGAGAAATAAGAACAACACGAACAACGAGAGACAAAGAGAAAGATGCGAGTCTGCGATACGTGTAACTTCCACGTGAGACACCTTCTCAAACAATTGCTATGCTTATCCTGCTGCTCTGAGGCCTAGACCGCGCCAGGGAATCGTCCCCCCCCCCGACCCCGCACATATTGCGTGACTTTAGCACTTCAACTCAGGAAAAAATTCCGTCGGGGGGGTAGGAAGGATACTAAGAAATCCGATTGACTGCCTGATGGAAGGCGATTGGGAGCTCATCGGAGTCCGATTGGGGTCCGATTGGACTACAATTGGGGTCTGGAAAAACTCCGATGGGAATATTTCTGTCCACGATTGGACTCTGGTTGGGATCCTGTTAGAGTCCTGATGGACATCCTAATGGAATGTGATTGCCATCGTATTGGGATTCAATCGAAATCGATTGGAATCTTACCGGAATCTGACAGAGATCTACTGGAAACCTGATGGAATTCGGTTAAAAACCGATTGGAATCAGATTTGGGATCGCATTGGAATCCGATCGGAGTCATTTTGGAATCTGGTTGAAACCTGTCTTGGAATCCGATTGGGATCCGATTAGTCTCCAGATTGGAATACGATCGGGTCCTTGGCTGAATGCTACCCGGACCCTCAGGAATCTGATGGGAAAGCAGTTAGAACCGCGTTGCCATTTCATTCGAATCCGATGGGAGTCCAACTGGAATCCTGTTGGAATCCGGCTTAAATCCTCAAGAACCCTATGGGGTCGAAGAGCGGGGCGGAATGTCACTCCCAAACGTCGGGCAGCGATGGAGCCTCACACAAGCAAGGGATATTCTTAATCGCAGGTCACGGTCAGATGCGGTCGGGGGATCGTGACGTGTCGCCGATGCATCGGCGACGTCGGCGTGGAGAGAATCGGCCTCCACATCGAGCCGCATCGGCGATGCATCGGCGATGCGGCACGATCCTCCGACCCGTCTGCTCGAAACCTATCTGGGAGGCTGGGTGAGCCCCAGCCAGCGAGCCCGACTATATCCATTCCCTGCCCGAAACCCATCTGGGAGCCCCGGCCGGCGAGCCCGACTACATCCGTTCCCTGTGCCTCCCGAGGTCAAGCAAGACCATATTCCCAGACGGTGAGCATGGCTACACTTCGGTCGGGCATGTCCCCCTATAGGCGGATTTCGGACTTTCGGACGGAAAAAAACAAACAAGTGCTCAAACATGATGGAACAATCGCCCCCTGACTATGTGTTGACTGGTGTTGAGTGTTCCCCCTGTAGAGGGACAGGCCCGTCTTCAGGCTACACCCCGACATCCGTTGATATATATATATATACACATATACATATGTGTGTATACAATCTCTGCACACACACATATATATATATATATATATACTGTGATGAGCTTCCCCCCCTTCCCTGAGGAACTCTGTGAAGCAGGCCGCACCCCGTCTGGCGACCCCGCTCGGACCAGAATGCATACGGACGACTCCCAACCGTCCTGAGATGGGATCCCAGCTTGACTCAGCAGCACCCCGCGTCTCCTCCTCTCCTCTCCTCTCCTCGCCTCTCCTCTCCTCTCCACCTTCCCCTTCCCTCCCCACACCCGTGCCGCTGCCCTCCGCATGGTCATTCCGACACGCCCCTCACTCGTCTCGTGGCCCTGGAGGGAGCTCCAGGGCCAAAATGGCAATGCCAAAACGGCAACGCCGCGCCCATTTCGGCACAGCGCGCAGACGTTCAGTGGCCCCCATGGGGAGGGAGCTCCGCAGAATGCCTCAGTGGCAACACCCGCATGGCAGCGTCGCGCCCGTTTCGGCACACGCACACACACACACACACACCTCACACCTTCCGAAGGCTCCATAGCGAGCTCCTCCTTAGGCCCCAATGGCAATGCCCGAATGGCAGCGCCGCACACATCACGCTTCGTGGCCTCATATGGAGCCCCACAGACTGAAGGCCCCAGCGGCAGCGCCCACATGGCACCGCGATGCCCACATGGCCCCAGCGGCAGCGCCCGCATGACACGCTTCGTGGCCCCATGGGGAGCTCCACAGAAGGCCCCAGTGGGAAGACCCGCATGGCGCCGCCGCACCCAAGTCGGCACCAACCTCACACGTTCTGTGCCTCCACAAGGAGCTCCATCGAGGACGAGAGCCACAGCCACGGTGCTCACAACTGCACATTGTTGGGCACCTCGCCAAGATATATCATCAACCCTATCTGAGAGACTCAATGTGAAGATGCCAGGGCCGTACCCTCCGCCGGCCAAAAGACATAGAACATCCAAGGGTACCTTCCGCAGGATGCACATGAACATACAACAACAACAACAACAATCATTTTACCCGAACGCTCAGTGTTCTCCCCAGTGCCAGGGTTTTCATGCGACGCCAGCCAATACCCCCACTTCGTGGGGGGGCAATGCAAGCTCTACCAAACATCCACACGACTCTCGGGAACCACCCACACCCAGCTTCCCGCCCTATGACGTCAGGACACTTCACTTCGTGGCGCGCGGACGATCGTGGATACTACACTGGCGTGGAGTACACACCCGCAGAGGTTGATCACTTGTTTGGGCCCCGCATGTGCCCCGCATGGTGCATTTGTTGCGTATGACATACATAGTACAGAGAGACAGAGAGAGAGAGAGAGAGAGAGCAAGACAGAGAGCCAGTGGAGAGAGAGATAGAAAGAGATTCGTCACATGTGTGAGGCAACCTGAGAAGATGTGGTACACGGTACACGTGAGATGGTACGCAGTGCCAAGATAGTTGGTCACATTTTTGAGGCAAATTCCTGGGAAGGCGATTACACAAGTAGATGTGTTACGTATGATAGATATGAAGCAGAGAAAGAGCGAGAGACAGAGAGAAGGAGAGAGAGGAGTCGGTCACATCTTTAGGGCAACTTCCTGAGGGATGTGGGAGGACACAAGAGAGAAGGTATCGTTGTCCCGATGGTTGTCTCGATGGTTGCCCCGATGGTTGTCCTGATGGTTATGGTTGTCCCGATCGTTATCCCGATGCTTGTCCAAATGGTTGTCCCGATGGTTGTCCCGATGGTTGTCCCGATGGCTGTCCCGCTGCGATGCAATGTTGTCTGTTTCTGCTGTTATACAGTCCCAAGGATGACGCATGCATTGCTCATACACTGGTGGCGCTGTGATCCTAACTCTCACTGCCCAACGCGCGCGTGCACAGCCAGACGGAGGGAGAGAAAGTACACAAGGTTCGTGACATACGCACGGTCCACCATGTTCTAAACGATCACATGCACG